GTGTGATCTGATGCTGCCTGAAAGATGCAAAGAATTGCACAGAAGTTAGATTAGAAAATACAGTTTGTTTAGAAAGTAAATGAGAGAGAGAGAGAGAAGGGATTCACTTCCCCAAGGGAAGGGAGAGGTCCAAAGTCAGAAAACATGGCCCGGCCATAGCGCAAAGAGCACATGGCCACACCATAGCTTAACAAGACGATGGTTGCAATGGCCTGGCAGTGGCTTCTAGTTGCTTGTGGCTGAGTCCTTTTCATCCTTCACTTGGATGGGGGCAGGTCATCGAAGTGGTTGGGTGGTGGTCTGCTCCCGAAGGGGCAGGTAAGTGCAGGTACTGACGTCAGGTGATGGACAGCAGACAGATGGGTGGGTTAATCGCATGATTGCTACCATGGTGGTGGGCTAGATGGGAGGAGACAAGGGGAGGGGATTTTCCTGTGAGAGACCTATCAGGTATTTTCAATCCACAAGCTCTTTAGCAAAAAGTTAGCCTTATTATCATTTCTATAGCATCAGCCAGCAAAGGGACCTGAAAATTTCTTAGTGATTATTATGCTAAACCATGAATTGAAAGGTTGGGCTGTCCTTGTCTTGCATCTGACAAGAGATTTGCCAAGGAGGTGGGGTAAACTGCCAGCCTGGCCTGCACTTCCCAATATCCGCCAGTGGGAAATTTATCTATCTATGTCTAAAGCATGCTAGATACAAAGTGTGTCAGTCTAAGCAAAAATGACTATGTTGAGATGTGAACTAAGTTTATTTTAAGTTTCTCGGGTCCCTCCTTTCAGTTCTAGTGATCAGCCTGTGGTGATGTAGAAATTACTGTTCCCTCTTCATTGCTATGGAGATCTAGGGTTAATAGTCATTTACAAGGCCAGCTATTTATTTATTTGTTCATTTATTGAGTTGGAGTCTCACTCTGTTGTCCAGGCTGGAATGCAGGGCACATTCACGGCCACCGCAGCCTCGACCTGCTGGGCTCAGGCAATTCTTCTGCCTCAGCCTTCCAAATACCTGCAGCTACAGGCATGAGTCACCACACCTGGCTAATTTTTTATTTCTTGTAGAGACGAAGTCTCGCCAAGTTGCCCAGGCTGGTCTCAAACCCCTGCGCTCAGGCGATCCTCTTGCCTTGACCTCCCAAAGTGCCGGGATTACAGGCTTGAGCCACCATGCCTGGCTAAGGCCAGCTATTTAAATTATATTTAAGATGATGTCTGTGTGGGAAAGCTGTGTTTTAATTGCTTTTAAGCCCCACTGAGCTTAAGTCTGTTATAAAATAGAAGATCATGGGGCAAATTTTGCAACAAGAAAAGGATAAGAGGAGGAGGAACATAAGGAGGAAGAGGAGAAGTCACATGAATAATGATAAATCCTAGTTCATCTTTCTATTAGCCAACAGGTATTGGACATTTTATCTGTGCTAAGCACTTTATGCTTATTGTCTCTCTGAATCCTCATCAGAACCAGAATTCTCTGGGGTAACTACCTAGGGTATCCCCACTTACATGCAACTAAATGGAAGGCCCAAGGGGTTAAGGGACTTGCTCAGAGACATAGAAGCAGTGAATGGCAGAGTGAATTTTATAATCCAGGTCAATCAGAGAACAAAGTTGAAATAAGTAAGTCCCTGGTCCAACCCTTGCCTATTGTGTTTATTAAGAGAATAATGGTTCACCACAGGACCTTAGTTTAACCCACCAAGAGGACCAAGCAAACAAGCAAGCAGCAACCCCAGAAAGTGAAGACAGAGAAAGATATCCAGGTGTCTCCTTGTTTTGGTGGTGGCAATGGAACAGTCCATGATCAGTAGTCGGTCAACTGCTATTGGTACCCAGCTCTGTCACTGATGGGGCCAACTGTCACCCGTTTGGGGAACTCCAGCCCTCCATCCTCAAAGTAGAAGGGTCCCACTTTCCTCACAAACTCAATTTGATCAATGACCAAAACCAAGCTAGATTTTATTTTACTAATTCTATTCTCAATTACAAAAATAATTTATCTTCATCATAAAGACAATTGGGGCATACCCAAAAGTACAAAGAAAATTTAATCACCCATAATCCCACTGCTGTTAATGTTGTGTTATACATTATAAGAGTGGTTGTTTTTTCTCCAAGTGTGAATGAATGCCAGCGTATTTAATAAAACTGAGAAGCTGCTCTGAAAACTACCTGAAGTTTTTCTTTTTTGCAATGTATCTTAATCTTTAAATCTTCGTCACAAATGTGTTTCTTAATGCCCGTGTGGCATCCCAGCATATGGGCACATAATAACTTATTTAACCAATCCCATATTATTGGATATGAAAGCTGTCTCCAATTTTGCATGATTAAAACAAATCATGATACACTTCCCAGTAAATTATGCCTTGTGTACAACTCTGATTATTAAAGCAGAATTATCAGATTAAAGGATTCACACATTAAGAGTTTTGATATATTTTGCAAACTCTACTCCCAAAAGTTTTATCACATTTTTATCCCAATCAGCAGTTTATGAGATTTTCTATTCTCTCCTTAGCAATGAGTATCAATATTTTTAAAATATGCACTTACTAGGTGTATATTCATTTATTAAAATCTTTCTTTTTAAGCATTTATTGAGCACCTACTCTATTAAGTAATTTGCTGGAGTTTTTTTTTTTTTAATTTGCTGGATATTTTCACAGTAGTTATCTCACTTACACTCACAACAGTTCTTTGAAGTAGGTAGAATATCTCCTTTTAATAGAGAAGGAGGCTAAGGCTTAAACTAACTTAGGTACCATGCTAAACTCTGTCACATACCACTGTCACATACACTCTGTGTGAGCTGGGGAGGATAATTTTCAACCTCTCAGAGCTCGAGGATACAAGAAACTGTCTCTCTTGAAGTTTAATCTGCCTCATAACTTTGAGTCCCACACTCTAGTGGACCAGGAAGCCCGGAGGATGCTGGAATACTCCTCTCCCAAGAACAAAGAAGCCTGCCAGCTCACAGATCCAGAATCTGTCCTCTGCAGTTGTGGGAACTAACAGGAAAAGAGCTTACTAAATTAGTAGGTCCTTCACAAGTAAGGGTATCTACCACATATGGTAGGACCTTCACACATATTTGCTGAATAAATGAATGAAAGTGAACTAAGTTCTCATCCCTCCATCACAATTTCAACCTCAGAAACTTTGTACAAGCTGCTTTCTCTGTCTGAAATGGTTTTCCTCCCAACTTTTTACCTGATTAATTCCTTCTCATCATTAGAGCTCCTCTCAAAAATTAGCTCCCCCAGACCAGGTTACGATCCCTTGTCTTATTTCTTTATGAGATTGTGCACGCTGCCTTCACAGTTCTTTCCACCACTGCAATCCATCGATGATGCAAGCGATCTAAGGGTTGTCTCTCTCACTAAACCATAAGTTCCAGGAGGACACAGTCCCTGTCACCTTTTTCATTGCTGTGTCCTCAGTACAAACCACATGTCCAGTCCACAGCAAGCATCTACTAAATATTGTACAGGAATATAATAATTTGTGTTGTGTTCCTTAACATCAACCCAATGATAAAACTACATGAACATTTGAGTATTACATCCTTTGGATTCAGTGAAAAGATCCATTATAACCATTGTTTGGAGCCCAAAGAGGTTAACCTGTAGCTATTAAGAAATGACAGCGTTCCTTTTCTGACCTATGAAACCTGCTGCGAACACGTTTTTAATATTTTCCAATGGTAGCAACTGTTTGAGTAGCAGGGCTGGGGGCATAATTCAGTATTTAGATGTTGGGCTTCTGAAGAATAAGACTGTCGTGTAGAGTTGGCAAAATTAGTTACAAAGGTAATTACTTCAGAGGCAACTTTCTTTAAAAATTGAACCCATCAAAAAAAATCTACTTTAGAGTACAGTCAGAATTTGCTCAGTGAAACTTTGCTAATTCAGTCCCTTGGGCAATAGAAAAGCCACTGACCTAGTTTTGCCATTGCACTTGAAAGAAGCTGAATTGTCATTTCTTTATAATTAATTCACACTTCTCAGGGATTCTTTGCCTGGGAAAGGTCCCAGGGGGACCTGATTAAATTAATAATTTGTAATCAACAAGCCAATTGTTTCTTTTTCAAGAGGCTATGACATATTTGATGGCTTTTGATAATTTGAGGGATGCAAGCACCCAAATTATAAAAACAGGAAAAAAAACCCCAAAAACCTGCAGCACTAAGTTACTCACCAATTTGCAGCTCTGGTCTGCCCCATATGTGTTACAGAGGACAAACTCATACATCCTAAACGCATAAACTTTAAGTAAATATCTGATCTATTGATCCATAAAGTTATTTGCATTGGGATCCCCAAAACACCTGGTTCCAACAATTAATTCAGAGAAAGAAATTCTTCAGAACTTCAACATCTAATGAAATGTTGTCATATAGTATGGTCAATATCATTTTTAGATCAGTTGGAATTGCAAAAGAAATTTTTCCCCCATCGTACTCAGCAATCTATCACAGAAACAAAGAACAGAGTATGACATGTTTTCATTCGTAAGTGGACTCTGAGCATTTACCATAATACTATAAGAAAGGGATTGGCAGTAGTGAGATACTGCCAGGGTGGATGGTGGGGAGGAGAACACAACATCAATAAGGGTACCTGATCTCAAACCAGGCAAAGTGGGAACCAAAGAGAGGCCCAAACTTTACCTGTATGATGACCACTTATCTACCTAATCCTGAAATGTACCCCATATCTTTAAAATAAAAATTTTTTTAAAAAGCATTTTTTTCCCAGCACCAACACAAATTCAATTAAAACAGATAACTTCATTCAAGGAACAGATACCAGGGGATAAGTACATTCAACTCCATCACACTCAAGCACAATGGGTCCTAAATACCCTTGAGATAGCAAAAGAAAGCAGCTGGGGTGAAAAATTCACACACCAGACAACTCCTTCCTGTTTCCTCCACCAAATATCCCCTTTATGCAGTCGCTAGAAAGAAAAGAAAAAAATGGGTGTTCAAGTTCCTTGTACTTTTTTAAGCACATGGTATTTATTAGGCATTAATTGGCACACAAATATAAGGCACGGGTACTTAATTCTCACCCTCCCCCCCATAGCAACATAAAAAGACGTAGTTGCATAAGGACACTCACGTACAAACATGCTCACGCTCTCTCACGTACTTGGACATACTCAGTCTCACATCTTACCCTGTTCTCTTTATTAGGGTCTGTTTAAAAAAAAACACTTTTTAATCAAAAAAGCAAAGGACATTCGAAAGAAAGGAAAGAACACACAAACTTGGTTTTGAGTATCAATAAAATTAAAAGCTCTTGGCCAGCTCCCACGCTGGATTTCATGTTATTACTTAATTAGAATTCCTATTTATAAATAAATAGTACCAGTAAAATATTACATCTGAAGAACCCTACCATAACACTTTACTTACACACTTTTTTTAATACTGTTTTCTGCTTTCAATAAACACAGTTCGGTGCCGGCATTTGGTGTTGGCATGAGTTCTTTGGACAGGCATCGTCGGTGAGCACGTCTTGCCCCTTCTCTAAGAATTGAGGGTTTTCCTTGGCATCCCATTTGGGTCGTCGGCGATGGAGGTTTGAAGGCTTGGGGCTGGCTTTGTTTTTTATCTGGAAGAATATTTATTTTGGCTTTTTTTCCCCCCACAACTCTTGTCAGCACAGCAGAGCTTGCGCCCTGCTTATCACAGTCCTGCCCATGTGTAAATCAGGGCTTTTTAAGTTTTCCTAAGCAAGCTTTCCGGACAGGAAACTATAGGCCACATTTCAGCGACAGACACAGAGCTGGGAAGACGGTAGGACTGAGTAAGATATGGTGCCAGACGGAGTCGACGTTATCCTGACTTCGTTGGTAAGTAGAAGCAAAACCGAGCACCATGATGCTGGGTAAGGCAGGGCAAAATGGAGAAAAATTAGGGACATAGGGAGCCTTTTCAGAAACATCACATGGCAGAGGTAGGTACTCTTCTTAGTCAAGGGGAAGGGCGATGAGTTTAGGTTTAAGGGCTGGTTTATTTGAAGGGAATCTCACAAGTACATATTTTGAAATGTACTTGCCTCAGATGTCCCCCAAATAAGGGACTGGGTCCCGTTAAGAAAATTGAAAAAAAAATATATTATTATTTTTTATATAACAATGTCAACATTAACACCAAGACAGGGGAAGACTCCAACCACACACTAGGATAAAAACACTCAATGAAGCAAAACTTTCTAGATCCCAAAACAAGGAATCGGGGAGGACATGCAGGGGTGGTGTGATGAATGTGGCTGGTTAATGAGTGTGGTGTCATGGTGCAGAGAGTGGGACTCATCTTTTTCTAGTTTTTTGTTTGTTTGTTTTTTAGGTTTTGAGGAACAAACCGACAAGGTCACATTTTTTGAATTGTAGTTTCAAGCTACTGATTAGATCAGCAACTGGCGGCCTTGAGTGCCTGCGTGAACATTGGGTGAAATGAAAGATCTTGTCCGTGGGGTTCTCTTGGCTACTGTCTCTCTCCTTCTCTCTCTCTCTCTCTCTCTCCTCCCTCTTGAGCAAGTGTCTGTTGTGAAGTGGGTCTCACTTTAGCTATTCTCACTCCACTCCGGCACCATGCCAACTCCGTGCACAGAGTGATACTGGTGTGGAGACAGGGTCCTTGGCACGCCGTGAGAGTAGAGAAACTCAGGGGGCTGAAGGGTGCCGGGAGACTGGAGACCAGTCTGAGGCCCACACTGCCTGACCACAGGCTGGTGGGCCACGGAGGTCTGGTGCTGGAACATTCCCTCTCCAAGCTGTGGGGAGCCATGGTTGGCCATGCCAGCCAGCCGGGGCACCAGGGGCCCCGAGGTGAAGTGAGCTGAGAAGTGCTGGTAGGGTAGCCTGTCCATGGGCTGCACAGTGGTGACCGTGCAGCTGCTGTAGGAAGGCATGCTGGGCCACGTGTTGCAGCTGATGTCCTCTAGGCTGGGCACCGGCTCGCTGGGGGGCGCAGAGCTGGCATACATGCAAGCCTGCCGCTGTGCTGACTCTGTCCTGTAGGAGGCACTCAAGCCCTGCTGCTGGGGGTAGCTAGAGCGGTAGAAGGATTCGTCTTCACTGGGTGATGTCTCCATGTAGGGCTTCTTATAGGGATGGTCTGTTGTGGAACATTCTTCATCTGTAAAGACACAAGGAAGAGACCAATGAGGCCAGGAGGAGGTGCCAGACAGCTAAAAGCAGAGACAGCCATTTGGCCAAAGGACTGAAGAATCGAGCCTGAGACAATGTTAGCTCCAACTAACATGCTGAAAAAAACAAAGGGTGGACTGTAATGGTTAGGACTTCGGGCTATGGAGCTCTAAGCATACAATTTGACCTTTCTGAGTTCAATTTCTTCATCTGTAAAAGAGAAGGGGTAGTAATAGCACTTCCTGCAAAGGGCAGTGATAGGGAATTAAATGGGAAAATATATATTCAGCACTTAGTCCAGAGCCTGGACTCAATAAATAGCAATTATCCAGGGGTGATAATTCCAGAGAGGCTGATCCTAGAGGATCCCTTGAGACCAGGAGTTTGAGACCAGTTTGGGCAATATACGAAGACCTCGCCTCAAAAAAAAAAAGCCAGAAAAGAAGAACAAACAAATAGCCGGCTCGGTGGCTCAGCCTGTAATCCTGCACCTTTGGGAGGCTGAGGTGAGTGGATTGCCTGAGCCCGCGGGTTGGAGACCCGCCTGGACAGGCGAGACCTCATCTCCACAATAAATCAAAGAATCAGCCAGGCGTGGTAGCGCACGCCTGTAATTCTGGCTACTCGGAAGGCTGAGGTGGAAGGATCGCCGGAGCCCAGCAGGTTGAGGCTGCGGTGGCTGGGAGTGGTCACTGCACTCCAGTCTGGGCAACAGAGTGAGACTCCGACTCAAAAAAAAAAAGAAAAGAAAAGAAAAACAAACAAATAAATAAATCGCAAGTAATATCCTTTTTTCTCTTCCCCAGCATGTAAATGCCATGAAGGCAGGAGGCAGGATATTGCTTGTCTTACCCATCACTATCTTCCTAGAACCTGGTACTACTACTAATAACAACAGTAGTATCAAAATAACAATAAAAGCAAACATGTATAGTGTTTACTCTGCCTAGCCCTGTTCTAAGTACTCTCCATAAGGTAACCCATTTAATCTTCACAATAACCCCATGACGTGAGTTTTACTATTATCTCATTTTTTAGATGAGAGCAAAAAGACACAGAGAGATCAAGAAGCTTGCCCGGGGTCTCATATTGCTGATAAACAGTGGAGCCAAGATTAGAATCCAAGTAATCTGACTGCAAAGTCCTTGCTTTTCAATGTCATGCTACATTAAGAAGATATGCAATAAATATTTGTGTGATGGATGGATGGATGAATGGATGGATGGATGGATGGACGGATGGACAGACAAATGGATGAAAAAATGGACGGGAGCTTGAATGAATCCTCAAATCTTTTCATAATTCCTCATTCGGCAGGTACCCAGTTAATATTTGTTGAGTTGGTACAAATTAATGTGTTACTGTTTCTTTGTTAAGCAATTCACTCTGTCTCTGAAAGAGGGTTTCCCTTAACTGCTTTTGGGTTCATTGGCCCCTTTGGAAACTAACGAAAGTGCTGGGCTCTTTCCTAGTAAACTATAATGAAACACGATGCTTTGAAAATTGCACACACATATAAAGTTTTGCACATAATTTCAAGAAATTCAAGGAGTCCCTGAAACTCAGGCACCAGGTTAAGAAACCTAGACGTGACTGTGGTTAAATCTGGCTCTTCTACTTAGTATCTGTGTGATATCAGCAAAGTATCTACCCTCAGAGACTCATTTCCATCATCTTTGAATCAAAGTTAGTAATACTTACCTCACTGGGGGGCTAAGAATTAAGTAAAACTGAGCATGTAAATCTCCTGGTATCCATCATTGAGAACAGCTCTTGTTGCAAGAGTAACACCATCACTCAATCTTATGGCAGATATACCTACAATAACACCCTCAAGCTGTTCCCTTCAAGTGAAGCAATATTTGGGAATAAGTACCAAGGTATAAACCTCAACACAGACACATTCCTTAGCTGGAATTTTACCCTACAGACCAAAAATTTTCTTTCCTTATCTTCCAATATCAATAATGTTTCTATTCAATTTCTAACCAATAAATGTTATGAAATTATGTCTTAACATTAAGATATAATTAATACATGGGTGCATCCGTGTGACTTACTGTGATGGCTATGAGGGTAGGATGCTGAACAAAATAATGAGAGCGAATAATTGTGGATATCATATATTGAGCATCTACTAAGTGACCTTATTCCAATCTCATAGTAATTCCTCAAGGTATCCGCTGTCATTCCTGTTTCACAGAGGCAGAAACTGAAGCTCAAAGAAGTTGCCTGCCCAAGATCACACAGCTGAGAAGGAACAGAAGTTGTAATCCAAGACAGATCTGACTTACTTTGTCTATCACACCTTGCATCTAGCTTTCTAGACTTCTAATATCCAGTACCACTCACCCTGTCAATTGGTAGATATTTACTGAGCCCCTCCCAAGTGCTAGGTACTGTGCCAGGTGCTGGAGATAGAGTGGTGAACAAGGTGGATGTGATCCTGTTCTCAGTACATGTCCTCAGTCCCCATGCCATACTACCTTGAGCAGTACGCGGAGAAGGCTGACACCATGACTTAGAGGTGGCCCTCAGATATAAATCTTCAAGTAAGTCATTCACACAACAATAAATCCTTTGGGTTTGGATTGGTTTGTAGAACATCCCCTCAGCCCAGGTAGACTAGCTTGGGTTTGGGTTCAACCAGTCACCTCCATTTGCATCCTTCTCCAAGTGACACCCACAGTTAAGCAAAAAATATCCCACAAACAAAACCTTTCTAGGTTAGGGTTGCACTCACTTAACAGCAAGGAAATTTATTTTCAGCTAGACTCTTGGGGACACATCTGGGACCCATAGGATGACCAAAAAATGGTACCAAAAAAAAGGGGGAAAAACACTCTTTCAGGTGTTCTATCTACATCATGCCAACCATCCAGATGTTTGAAGACATCCAGATGAGTGAGTAGCCACATTTTTCACCTTTCAACTGGATTTTTTTTTTTGCTACATTCAACTTGTTTTTGTCCTCACCACCTCCTCCCTTGATTCCTTCTCTTCCATTCTTCCTTCCACCCCCTAGATTCATAAATCTGAATGTTTCCATTGTTGCTGGAATCATAACCTTTGGGTTTTCCATTTAACCAGGGCGTTCCTCTATTCAATAATAGAAAGTACAGCTGCAGGGTACCCTTGGCAAGAGAAAAAAAAAACAAGGCAAACTAACCATTCTCAAGTTTCTGATCCCCTTCCAGATTTGTTACAAGTAAAAAAGAATAATAAGAAAAAGGCCGGAACACATTTTGGAAAATCGTAAAATTATACATTCCAGTCTTTAATACCCCAAAGATCTAATGCAGAATGTTAAGAAAAACTCAATGTTGGCTTATTGATGAAAGCAGGTCTTGAGTATTCTCAAATTCTTCTCAGGCCTCATCACATTGTAAAGAAATTCCAAAGCAAGGATCCAAATTTCAGGTCAGTCATGATAAATGCTCTGGATGTGATCTCTGTGTTTATTTTGGTTATGGCTTGGTTTCTTTCTTTTTATTGGGAGCCCAATAACTGTTCAACAGCAAAGACCTTTCTCCAGCCAAGTCATGATTAGTTTTCAGGGTTGGGGAACAGGCTACAGTCAAGTGTCAGGTCTCCTGATGAGATGAGTCCACAGCTCCACTTCAGAAAGTGGTAACTTAAGAGTGATCAATTATATTTCAACTATTCTGAACCCAACTGAGTCCCTTGGATAACAATAAAGATATTCCTAATTCTAACCATTCATGGCATAGGACTGTGAAAAACACTGGTCCTTTGGATTTTTTTCTCGATATTTTTATTCTGGATAAAGTGACCTTAGTGATGAATCCAGAACACAGACATTAAGTCAAGGAAGTTATGCTCAGGTGGCCATGGATGAGTCACTGGCCCATTTCATTCTCAGTCTTGACTGTAAATAGGGATAATATCTCAATTTTTTGAGAGATTTAATCGAGATAATACTAAGGGCAGTCTAGCTTCTGTCTGTCTTCTCTGCGCTTAAAGTTAAATGTTCAAATTATATCTGTCCAAGTAACCTGGGTCTACTCTGTTTTCCTTTTTTCTCTATTGAAAAACTGGACAGATGGCTCTCTGAAGGTCACTGAATACTTGAAGGTATCTGGGTGGATTCCAGAGCCTGAAAGCTCACAGAGCCACTTTCAAATCACTAATCCTGTTGAGCAAATATTGTTGCAGTTCCTAAATGAGTCATTTCCCATGATTTAGTTTATTTAGATGAAAGATTGTTGAGTCTTCACAGAGACCTTAATGCTCAGAGTGGTGAATGGCCACTTTCTAGCTGAGCGACCTTCAGCAAGGTAAGGGGGAGTGCTATAAGTTAGGCCTTCTAACTCACCAAATAGTGCTCATACTGACAGATAGCCCTAGGCTTTCTGTTTTCATGTAACCCTGCATGCTCAGCCAATATGAAAAGGTAGCAATCCTTGACCTTTGTGTATGAATGGGCAGAAGGATGAACGGATGAATGAATGGATGGGTGGGTGGGTGGATGGTTGGACAGGTGAGTGGGTGAGTAGGTAGATGAATGGGAGAGTGGGTGGGTAGGTGGGTGGATGGATGGATGGATGAATGGAGGGATGACCCTTTGTGGATGGATGGATGGGTGGGTAAGTGGATGGATGGATGGATGACCCTTGTGGATGGATGGGTGGATAGGATGAGCGGGTGAGTGGATGAATGGGAGGATGGATGGATGAATGGCCTTGTGGATGGATGGGTAGGTGGGTGGGCAGATGGATGGATAGATGAATGGATGACCCTTGTGGACAGATGGGTGGGTAGGTGAATGGATGAATAGATGGACAGATGGATGATGGACAGACAATTAGATGGGTGGGTGGATGAGTAGGTGAATGGAAAAGTGGAAGGATGGATGGATGGATGGATGGGGGATGGGTGAATGGGCAAGTGGATGAATGGATGGGTGGATAGATGGATGGATGGATGGATGGATGGATGGATGGATGGATGAACGGATAAATAGATGAA